AACTAACAGAACAACTTTTTATATTTTAAATCTGTTACACATAGCTCCGTGGCGATTAAAAAAAACGTGGATTACTGATTTCTAAAATGGGAAGTTAAAACTGAAAAAGAGATTTGGAATCTTTCTTCAATTCATGAATATTTTTTTTTGTAATATTGCGGTGTGCATTTTATCATTGCATTCTTCTTTTATTCTCATTGTTGTTATTGTTAATTACCAAGTTCAATGTCCTTTGGGATGGAAAGATGGGTGTAAGATAAATACTGAGGAAGAAGGGTGGTTAAGAAATATGAAATATAAATAAATACATATATTCGTTAAAACCAACATTTGGAAGGGTTTTACTTGACGGAGCTGAGAATAAATGGTAGGAATGGTGCCATTCCTAGACAGGTGGCAAAGAAACAGAAACAGAACAATTATGAAAATAAACCTCAGAACAAAATGGAAGAAAAAGAACCAAAAAGACAGACTCTGTTCCACTATGGAAAAAAGAGTAATGTTCTTTCTGTCAATAAATGATTAGAGTTAATACATAAACAGGAATCTCAAATAATTAGAGTGTTCCAGGCTACACTGAGTTCCCAATGGTAATACTTGGAAGTTCAGGGGAGTAGAGACACTCAGTGGTTGCTGTCCAATGGCTATACCTGGGGACGGAGTATAAGTTAGGTGTAAAAAAGGCAAATAATGAATTCTTGCCAATAAGAGCATTACATGGGAACAGTTTTCATCCCAAGGCCCAAAATCTTACACATTTTTCCTTTAACTTGGTCAGAGACTGAACCTGGAATTTCCAGGCAAAAGAGAAAACAAGGTGCATGAATTCTATCACTGTGTTATGCCCTTTCCTAGTAACTATTTAAAAGGCTGTTACATGGATGATGGGAAATAGACCAATCACTGTATCTTCACATAAAGCACAGGAGAAAATACTTAGGTATAGCAAAGAGTGACTCATTCTTTAATGCCGCAGTAAACACCAGCCTTTTTAGTGTTGTTCCAGCATTAAGACAATACAGTACAAACTGAGCTTCAGCTAAAGCCTTTGGCAGCATTCAGTGTGGGGGATAAGAAGCTGAAACCTTACACAAACACATTAGCTGAGTAGTGTAGCCATCGACACACATATATGTACTTTAGACTACAGATATTCAGGAACCCAAAGCTTGAATCAAATCAGCAAGGCCAATTTTTGCTCGGCTAGATAAGCTGTCTTATTTCTCAGAACTGTTGGGGCACTAGTACTTTACTCAATGATGAAAAAAAATGTATCCATTCAAGAGAGCCTATACTTTACACAGCAAGAAGTAGATTTTGCTCACTAAATTATAAGCTGAGTAACCAACTTCTACTGAGTATCTCAAATGAGCCAAGCATTCAGTTAAAAGGCTTAATTGATTCTACAAGTCTACTTAGAAGCAAGGATCACTAAATTTAATGTTAATTAACCATCATGAAGGTGCCCTGCAATAACAAAATAATTGGTTAAACTACCACCATTATAAAAGGATATCTTACCCTGGCAAAGCTTGTTTCAGTAAAAAAAAAAAAAATCAGAGATAGCTGAATATACTTATTTATTATTTTATTTATTATTTAAATTTCTACCCCGCCCTTCTCCCTGCGGACTCAGGGCGGCTTACAGCCTTTTTAAAAACAAGTACATAACTACAAAAATACTAACGTTAAAAAGTTAATTAAAATAAAATATTATTATAAGGCCTTTATAATTTAATTTTTTTAAAAAAAAAATTATTATAAAACCAAGTTAAAAATAACCCTTAGGCCAGTCCTGCCAGTTTAAATAGCCATGTCTTGAGGGCGCGGCGGAAGGAGGGGAGATCCGGAATCACCCGGATCTCTGGGGGTAGTTCGTTCCATAGGGTGGGAGCTCCAACCGAGAAGGCCCTCCTCCTGGGGGTCGCCAGCCGGCA